ACTTGAGACTTAACGGTACAGATGAGACGAGTATGCAATGATATTTGATATCATAGTCTCATAAAAGGATCTGAGAGTCACATTGGATGTGATTGACATTAGATGTCTACCTAAATAGCATAAAGATGGGTGTAACAGTCCATTCTTATGTGAAATATGGATCTTAGTCCCATATAGAAAATTATTATAGGGTTATTTTTCTGTATGGGAATATAGCTCATTTTTCATCTATGTTGTCATTGTTTGATGATGGACTAGCTGGTAGTAGTTCATAGATATGTAGACACTGATTGATGATGGGCTAGCTGGTAGTTGATCATTAATTGAACCTGCATTTGTTTTGTACGTTCTGTTTGTCTTTTTTGTAGGACATGGCGTCAACCGGCAGCGTACCGAGTTTGACAATGCGATCTATCCTTGAGAAGGATAAGCTGACCGGGACGAACTTCTTAGACTGGTATCGAAACTTGAGAATTGTCCTCAAGCACGATAAGAAGTCTTATGTCCTGGAAGGGGCGCTACCACCAGAGCCTGCATCCAATGCCACGAGAGCTGTCAAGGATGCTTGGTTGAAGCATCAGACTGACGACATCGAGATCTCATGTCTCATGTTGGGAAGCATGGCCCTGAATTTGCAGAGGCAGTTTGAGGGGGAGAGCGTGTTTGATATGATCAATCAGCTCAAGACCATGTTTGAGGAGCGAAATGGAGCAAGAGTTGTTGCATTGTGTGTTGGCGTTTACGATTTGCATCTTCCTTCTGGACTTGTTTTAGAGCTTAGTAATTGTTACTATGTTCCTGCGATTAGCAGAAACATTATTTCTATTTCATGTCTGGATTTGGATGGCTTTCGATTTGTGATTGAGAACTCGAGTTTGATGATTTAGCGAGACGATATTTACTATGGTAATGATTATCTAGTTAACGGTTTATATGTCTTGAATGATTAGCCTTCGAACTCGACATCATCCATCTATAGCGTGAGTACTAAACGGTTTAAGCCGAACGACTTAAACCCGACCTTCCTCTGGCATTGTCGTCTAGGCCATATAAACGAGAAGCACATACAGAAGCTTCATTCTGAAGGTCTTCTGGATTCATTTGACTTTGAGTCTCTTGAATCTTGCGAGTCTTGTTTGATGGGCAAGATGACAAAGCATCCTTTCAAGGGGAAAGGACAGAGAGCGACAGAGTTATTGGATCTGATACATAGTGATGTATGCAGACCAATGAGCTGTCCAGCTAGAGGAGGTTATTTGTATTTCGTTACGTTCACTGATGATGTCAGTCGATACGGTTATGTCTATTTGATGCGACATAAGTCTGAAACACTTGAAATGTTCAAGGCCGTCTAGCGGCACTCGAACTCACGAACAAACGGGGATAATCGAAGGGGATTTACGGGAAACTCTCTCAATCACCGGCTCACTCAAGTGGCACTCGAATTCAAGAGAGAATCAGAGAATGGATGGTGGAAATGAAGGGGAAGATGGCGAGTATGGATTCGGACAAACCGAAGGGTGAGCCGGACACACCGAGCTCGAGAATTTCGGACAAACCGAAAGAGAATGTCAGACAAACCAACAAAGATAGGGAGAGAGTCTTGGCTCAATCTCAATTCAAAAATACTTTAATCAAAAGGATAAAATCTGATTACAAAAGAGTTCTAGGTAGTTTTTATAGGAAAACAACAATAAATGCAAGCCTAATTGTTATTTAATAAGGTGGTTAGGAAGAAAAGAGCTGTTGGAATTTAATGGACTAATGGGCTGGGCCTTGATTTGTTCTTGGGCTGAAATGGACAGCTCATGGGCTGGCTTGAAGTCATCTTTGAGTCCAATAGCTTTCGGCCATGATGGAGGAGACGTTCCGGGTTAAGTCTTGGCCGAAAAGGGAGATGTTCGCGTCGTGATCCCGGACTCCGTGAAGAACTTGAGTGACGACCTTTGTTAACGTGATGCGGAGGGCTTGAGCTCTAACACGAGTGAGAGGAGGCTCGGCTCTATGGCTTGCTCAGGGAGCCTTCGCGTTGTGCACGTCAAATCCCGTTCCCGCGGCTTCGAATGATCTTGTGATGTTATGATCATCCGACAAGAGTCTTGACGCCTGATGGGTCAAGTCTTGAACATCTTCTAGAGCTCCTTCCGTTAAGCTCCTGTCCTCATCCAAGTTGCTAGCTCCGATGTCCTCATCATTCCCTCCCCCTTGCGAAGATTTCGCCCTCGAAATTCTATTTTCTGCAACAAAAGGAAATGTATCAGCCATCTTAAACATAGAGGACACCTTATACGTACCTTGGTCTCGGCGGATGTGCTCGACACCATATTGCTCTTCTTCTCGTTTCTTCCTCGGTCGAATGGCTCGTATTGCTTGATTGTTTTTGGGTTTATAGTGGTTCTAATCCTTGAATCATCCATGCATCTATGATAAAAGTATTTGGCTTCGTGTGCTCGGATGAGGCTTTCGATGGTCAATGTTAGAATTGCCTTAATCTTCTTTTCGACCATGCACAAGATCTGCAATCTAGTAGCAAAATCTAGGACAACAATGTTAGTGCAACTTCTGTTCTCGTCAAATGGCTTCCTTTGGTTATAAACAAGAATAAAGATCAGAACGAAGTTACCGCGTAAGGCTCTTGGAGTAAGGAACATGACCCAAATGTGTGTTCGAGTGTTAGTGGTGTCATAAGGACGGATCAAGTTCTCCACATTTGTACACTTTCCTCGTTTGAATGGTGCGTCCTTCTTTGGTTCCATGGGCATTAAAGTGATCATGCTTCTTGGGTGCCCATTGAGTTGATGGTAAGGAATACTCTTGACATGCAGAATTTGATCTTGGAAAATGCACGTAGTTGCCTCTTCTTGCACTTCTTTGACCCTTTCATCAAAATGTAGTACTTGCGAACAATTAACAAGATCTAGAAAAACAACCTCATTAGTGTAGTATGTGCATCCCTTGAGAACCTTATAGAAGTAATCCGTTTGGAAAGTTCGCATTTGTTGCTCAAGATTCATAACATACTCATCAAAATATGAATCATACACAAGAATAAAAGTAGGAACGAAATTACCGGTTGCTCCAAGTTTTTGACTTATGATGCAAGTGCGGTCGTTGGTGATGTCATTCGTCATCGTCGAAGGTTTGCTTCCCACCTTGAAGCCATCATTTTCCTTCTTGGGTGTGACTTTTATTTGCTCAAACCAATCCAATCGTATCATTCCTATGTCTCGTTTGACTTCGTTCAAATTCTCGCCTACTATCACATTCTCCGATTTATCGGCTTCTTCATTGCTTTCCATCACTTTCGTGTTGTTGGAGTCTTCAATGATTTTCTTGACTTCGAATGCATCTTTTCTTGACGCCATGCATCTCTCCGTTTGCATTCGCAGCACTTTTGGGTACTTCTTTTATCATGAGGTCGGGATCTTCGACCGGTTCCTCTTTCTCTTCGTTCACGTACTCTATTTTCTTCTTGGACATAACCTCATACATCTCTTCAAGATTTACCACAACCTCAACTATGGACTTTGATTCCCCGTCATCCTCGATGATGATTTCTCGTTGGTTGGAACATTCTCGTGCCAAATGATCTTGGTCCCTACACTTAGAACAAATAACCTCACGTTTATGATTAATATATGAGAAAAACGTTTCGTTACCTAGGGCGGTGACTGCCTTTGAAGATACGGTTGAGTCCTCCTTGTGTCGAGCATCATGATTCTTCGCCTTGTCTTTGTCTTCGATTTTGACAAAGCTATTGCTTAGAGGTTTTTGTGCTTGTGTGTGCCTCCTTGTCGGTGCTTTGTTCATGTGTTGCTCTATTTTAATCGCCGAATGCACAAGATCCTGTAAGTCATGATAGACCTTTTGTTCTACCTTTCTTGCTATTTGGTCTTGCAAACCATCGAGAAAGTGTGCCCTAAGAGCTTCTTCGTCATCGTCGATTTTCAAGTAAATGAGAAGTTGTTCAAAATTCTTCGTAGTATCCCTTAACTGTCTTGTCTTCCTGCATGATGTTATCAAATCTATATTGCAATTCATGAAGATAATGTCGAGGGACATACCTTTTTCGCATGAGGATTTTCATCTCCTTCCAAGTGGAAACCGGATCATAATGTGCACGACGTCGATTGCTTTCTTCTCGTTCCCACCATGTGATGGCATCTTCGGCAAGATGGGCAGCCGCATATTGAATCTTCCTTCGGTTCGTCAAGGAATAACATTCGAAATTGGCATCCATTTGGCGCTCCCACTCAAGATAAACCTCGGGCTCCTCCTTTCCAGTAAACACGAAAGGTTTGAACTTTGGATCAGCCCTCTCATCACGAGTTGGTCGACGATATTCTCGGTCATATGGATCCTTGAATCGGCCATCATCGAGGGGTTCATGGTGAGGCCTCTTTAGATTTTTAGGCATGGTTCTCTTCCCCTCACTTTGTTTGTTTAGCTCCCTAGCAGATTCCACGGGTTCGCTCACCTCCTCAAGTCGTGTGAGACGATCTTGAATCTGCTGGATCATCCTATAAACCGAACTGTCACTGGATACGTTTGCCATCGATACTGAGAAAGCAAGCCACGGTATATGCAAGTAACAAAACGTGCAGCACTAAGTCCGAACAAATATAGCAGAAACGTTCAACGTGCAACAATGTCATGTACAAGCTAAAACATGCACTTCACGCAACAAGTAACGTTTTGGTTCCTAAACAGTTTCAGAAGTATTTAGATGTTTTCAATCTGTTTCTAAGCTCAATTAGGGAACATAAACAGTCTCTCAAACTAACAATTTACCCAGATTCGTGCTTGGTACCTCTTGCCAAAAGAACAATTCGGAAACGAACAACAACCACTCAACAATACGATCGGTAATGACACAAATGCAAACAGATTTCAAAATGATCAAAGTGAATGAAAGGAACAATACAACCGTGGGGGAAGGCTATGATTCAGGACGCCGAAGAGCCTTTCCAAGTCGTGACCCTAATCGATCTCCGAGGAATTTCGGTCGTAGGATCGAGCAGCTCTGATACCAAAATGATGTAAGCCTCTCACGTCCCAGCAAGCAGCAGAATTTGACAGCATGTACCAACACCGATCACCCGCACAAGTGCACTCGAACTCGATGAAGGAAACGAAGGATAGTTTGGATGGTTTGAATGGATGGCTTTAATTAGGATCAATCACAGGCCTAGAATGGCACTCGAACTCAATCCTAAAGTGGTGAAATGGATGAAGAAATGAAGGAGAGTTGCCCTCGGACGAACCAAGAGTGATGCATTCGGACAAACCGAAGAGAAAAGTGCGCTCGGACAAACCAAGACAAAAAGAGAATAATTTTCCAAATAGATTTCGAATAGATTTGATCAAAAGTGAATGAAAGGAACAATACAACCGTGGGGGAAGGCTATGATTCAGGACGCCGAAGAGCCTTTCCAAGTCGTGACCCTAATCGATCTCCTGCAAGACACGAAATAGGTTGTTAAGTTTGATTGCAATGAGATGTAATCGTCGGATGTTCTTCAGTCAGATTAAGAGCATTGTTTCAAGGTTTAAAAATTGAAGTTTCAAGCAAAGCGACCTATGGTTGGATTCGTCTTTGAAAGAAGAAGAGTTTGATATATGGCTCGACAAATAATTCAAAGTTTAGCACAACCAAAACAGTCAAATATTGATGATATGTCAAACTGACAAAACTAGAAGTTAAGAACGAAATTAGAACCGAAGCGAGAAGCAAGGAGCGATCTCACCGGGGAATTTCGGCCGTATGATCGAGCAGCTCTGATACCAAAATGATGCACGCATGGAAGAGGATGGAAGCAAGTCTGATCGCAATCACCGGCTCGCGTCTAGCAGCACTCGAACTCACGAACAAACGGGGAATAATCGAAGGGGATTTACGGGAAACTCTCTCAATCACCGGCTCACTCAAGTGGCACTCGAATTCAAGAGAGAATCGAGTTTGAATATTGGAAAGAAGTATTTTCGAGTTGAGTTTTACTCTTGTTGGTGTGTCCGACATTGTCTCGGTTTGTCCGAGAAATCCCGTCTTGGTTTGTCCGAGGCTTGTCTTGGTTTGTCCGAGACCCTATCCTTCGTTCTCCATCCATCTCTTGACTACGATTCCAATTCGAGAGCCTCTACGAGTGCCGGTGATTGGATCAAAGTCCTGCAACCTTATCCTTTTCGGTCCTTCTCCAACCGTCGTTCGAGTGCCGCTGGACGCGAGCCAGTGATTGCAATCAGACTTGCTTCCATCCTCTTCCATGCGTGCATCATTTTGGTATCAGAGCTGCTCGATCATACGGCCGAAATTCCCCGGTGAGATCGCTCCTTGCTTCTCGCTTCGGTTCTAATTTCGTTCTTAACTTCTAGTTTTGTCCGTTTGACATATCATCAGTATTTGACTGTTTTGGGTTGCTAAACTTTGAATTATTTGTCGAGCCATATATCAAACTCTTCCTCTTTCAAAGACGAATCCAACCATAGGTTTCTTTGCTTGAAACTTCAATTTTTACACCTCGAAACAATGCTCGTAATCTGACTGAAGAACATCCGACGATTACATCTCATTGCAATCAAACTTAACAACCTATTTCGTGTCTTGCAGGAGATCGATTAGGGTCAAGACTTGGAAAGGCTCTTCGGCGTCCTGAATCATAGCCTTCCCCCACGGTTGTATTATTCCTTTCATTCACTTTTGATCAGATCTATTCGAAATCTATTTGGAGAATTATTCTCTTTTTGTCTTGGTTTGTCCGAGCGCACTTTTCTCTTCGGTTTGTTCGAATGCATCACTCTTGGTTCGTCCGAGGGCAACTCTCCTTCATTTCTTCATCCATTTCACCACTTTAGGATTGAGTTCGAGTGCCATTCTAGGCCTGTGATTGATCCTAAAGCCATCCATTCAAACCATCCAAATTATCCTTCGTTTCCTTCATCGAGTTCGAGTGCACTTGTGCGGGTGATCGGTGTTGGAACGTGCTGTCAAATTCCGCTGCTTGTTGGGACGTGAGAGGCTTACATCATTATTTGATGAGACATAAGTCTGAAACACTTGAAATGTTCAAGGCTTTCAGAAACGAAGTACAGAACCAGCTTGGCAAGACGATCAAGACACT